AAACCCCCGCTAGGAAGGGCTGGCTCAGAACACAGAGGCTTTTAGTGGCTACAGCCCAGAACTGGGGTGCAGGTACATACCCTAAAAAGGTAATGCTGGGGGTATCACAGGGTTGCTAAGTAAAGAAGTCTACTGTGTTAAAAGTATAAGATGAGAGAAAAAGTAATATGGGGCCTCTACAGGGGAAGTGATCATCCACTGTTTGTTTTCAGTGAATCTCTGTCTGAACACTGCAGTGCCCACCCAGCTCAGTAGCCTTGTTTAATCTTCACTTTTGCTGTTTCCAGGATATGATTTGTCCATTAACATTTCCCAGCTGTTCCTACATGAGAATTTACAGCTGCCGAGGTCTTGTTTCTTGTCATTTCCCTCCGATGCTGCACAATTTGATTATCCTCTGCAAAAAAATATCTTGGTATAACTGCAGCTCCCCTCCATTGCTTATGTTTTTAGAAATGCTAATCCCAAACTTTCCCAACTCCTAGGCTTCTAACATTTTAAGGCCTCCCCATGCTCTTGTATACAGGAAAAATCTGTGTAAAAGAACAGAAAATCCCTGGACATCAGCTCACCGATTTCTTTCAGTTTTCCCATTTAAGGGCAATATTCCTCACAGAAGAAGCCAGGGATTCTGTCCTTCAGAATTGAGTACATGAAGGAGGTGTCTTTATCTCTAGGGTTGTCAGTTTTGATTAGATGTATTCCTGGAGGTTTAATCGCATGATAGAACCTTTAATTTGGGATAATCCTGGAGGGGGCAGAACAACCCCACTTGCCTCTATATTGCTCTCTGCTGCCTTTAGCCCCAGCTACACTCAATGCCTCCTTCTCTGGAACTACCACCGGACTATAAAGATAGACTAAGGGAGGCATATGAAACTGGGGAAGCTATATGAGCACCTAAGATAGAGATATCAATAGATGTAGTGAAAATTCATGGTTATCACAAACCTAATGCTGGGAGCAGAGCAAGCAGCTGACAAGGACAGCGGCATATTCAGAATGCTGATGCATTCCCATAATCTACAGCAGGTGTAAGTGCTTTTGAGGGCCCTCATTAGCTGGCATAAGTTAGAGCAATATAGAGAGTGCCTGAACTTGTGTCAGACACTAAGGCAGCCCCAGGGGCAGGGGCAGGAATGTAAAGTTGACATGGTTCAGTAAGACGGAATGACTGGAGCAAAAATGTGCTCCTCTCTATTTCTAGACAATAAGGAGATTTGCCTCCACAGTAGAACTATTCCAAACATGCTTGACAGGGTTTTACTGACTAAAACTAAAATAGCAAAATGTGGAGCCAGCAGAGGGTGCGGGTGGTGAAATCTGGCCTATGGTATTTATGGATCATACAAGACAAGTCATGTGTTTTGTGGGGTTGGTGACATGGAGGAAGTGACTTCAGAACTTATGCTGCCTGCCAGATTTCACTTCTCCTATCAATGCTGCTGGCCACTGACTATTATTCGCTGGTGAACTTCAAATCCATTGAGGAAAGCAAGCCAGACTGATTCCTTACCTCTAGGTGGACATGAAGGCACAGCCCATAATAAAGGGCAGTGCACAGCTATAAGACTTTCTTCCATAAGGAAGCGCAATAAGCTCCTGGAGTTCCAGGCAGAGACCTTGTGTGCCAGCTGTGACCTCCCTTTATGGGATACAGCTTGCTCCTCCTGCATGGGTGGCCAGCTCTACTGGACAGTGCATGGATGATTGGAGTAATGGATCTCCATCCTCCCTGCCTTTGTGGCACAGAGCAGGAGGGAGGGAGCCGTCCCTATGCTACTGTACGTGCAGGAACTGTAATTCTGTCTCCTGTTACCAAACAAGCAAGCGATGGGCTTGTCACATCCTCTCTGCCCACTGTACTTGTACAAGGGCCAGGAGGAATCTGGTCTGATTTTAGGCATTGTTCCTAATGTAGTTTTAATATAATTCCATCCCATATCTACTGTAAGAGATGACTACATGTTGTGTATAAAGACTCTGGATTGATCACCCAGCTACACAGACACATGTGGAAATTCACATTTCACTACAAAACACAAGCCTCTACTTCTCCAGCTTATAATACAGCTTATTAGCTCAGCCAGCAGACAGAACTGCTTATACATAACATCCAGTCCATCATCCTCCCAGCTATGAGCAATGATTCACATGCAATCAAGCCAATGCGTGACTTATTTCTTTCATCTAATACAGCATTTGCCTCTGAATACATGCTAGAGGAGCTGAGTACTCAGGAATCGAAGCCAATACTGAGGCACTCCTCTCAATCAATCTGTGTCCAGAGACCTATAAACACACTAGGAAAAGCCCATAGGATTCGTGCTTAAGACGATCAGCTCCAAAAACAACAAACTCCCACTAGTTAGCTCAGGAACCAGTTTATCTTATCCAATACAGGAACACTGGGAGTCAATCACATTTTCAAATGAAGGATGTGATAAAGTGAGCTGGAAACATGGTAGAAATACAAAAGGAAGTATTAAATAAGCCAGCAGTTATAATTACAGGTTATGTTCTGAATGCTAGGCAACTGGTACTTTTCAAAGAGTCACTCTCCTCCTCAGCTTAAATGAGATACATAATAAACTCAGAGATCATACATTTCAATCCCACAAAGGAACAGGATTTTTTCATCCTACCTAGTGCTCTCCAAATAAGACAGAAAATGATGGTAAAGCAAATATAAGACCAGCTCCACTCATGGTTGTCTCCAATGGTAGAGACCCCAAGAAAGATGAAGATAAGGGTATCACTAACACTGCTCCACATCTTCAGAAAGTACTTGATTGTTGTGTGAGACTTCAAAGAAATGTTTGCCTCCACATAACGTTTCATGCCCATGGCACAAGCAATAATGCTAAGGAAAGAAAATAAAGCAATTAGACATGGTAGATAGGGTGGTTAGAGGAACACACTAGATAGACAAAAAATGTTTTATAGCCTTTCCAAGACAATGTAAGACTTGGTTTAGGGTACAGTGAAACTCACACTGAGTAGTAGTTTAATTCTCAAGTAATTCAATTGAAAATCAGTGAGACTACTCTATTTGATCAAGGGCATTTGTCTCTAGCGCTTAATTAATACATGCTAAAATATTACTTTTATTGTAAGCATATAGTGACACCTATAGTTAATATTACCCAATGCTTTCCATTATACGATCCTGTTTTCAGCTCCTTATAACTTTGCCAAACTTTAACCAATTAGGCTGAAAATTTCCATCCGGGGTGTCTGTCTCAGGCTGATGTTTTCTGCACAATTTCAGCAAAAAAGGTCCAGTTGTTTCTCAGAATGAGATTAGGGGAAATACATTCGTTTGCCCATGTTAAAGTAATCTTATAAATATTTTACTGAGAAGATCTAATACCTCTCCCTGGGCTACCTTATTTCTGGCATTTCCTACATTTTCAGTGTTTTACTTTGCAACTTGGCAACATTCTTTTAATGTAACATTTTAATATAATTATTAATATATGGAATATGTTCTATCTGTGACCTCTCCATCTTTCACTTCCTGTAATTTGTTTGTCACTAGCAGTGCAACACTAAGGCTATGTCTAGACTGCAGGCTTCTTTCGAAAGAGGCTCTTTTGAAAGCATCTTTCGAAAGAGCCTCTTTCGAAAGATCGCGTCTAGACTGCAGGCGGATCTTTCGAAAGAGCAATCCGCTTTTTCGAAAGAGAGCATCCAGCGAGTCTGGATGCTCTCTTTCGAGGAAGCCCTATTTACATTGAAGAACGCCTTCTTTCGAAAGAGGATCTTTCGAAAGAAGGCGTTCTTCCTCGTGAAACGAGGTTTACCGCCATCGAAAGAAAAGCCGCGTTCTTTCGAAATAATTTCGAAAGAACGCGGCTTGAGTCTGGACGCAGGGGAAGTTTTTTCGGGAAAAGGCTACTTTTCCCGAAAAAACCCCTGAGTCTGGACACAGCCTAACAGATTCTAATCAAGACTTAACTTCAATTTTTGGAATAAAAAACTCATCAATATTAGAAACATATTAGGCCCGTTAGATGATAACCAAATTAATGTCCCTGGTATA